CTCCGAAAGCTCGTCGAAAAACCGCAAGGTCGCGAAAGACTCCGAGCTATTTAGATAACTATGTTCGTTCTGCCACTGATTATGTGTTAATGTGTAATGATGTCTCCAGTTCAGATTCTGAACAGGAGGATTTTATTTCCAGGGGATCCAGGAGAGGCAACACAAAGAGTAGAGGTTGGCAACCACGGGCTCCAAGGTTTCCCAACCCATACTTTCCACCATGGCCAGGACATCAAATGCCACCTGGCATGTCACCATATTGGGATTACCAAAGGGCTTGTATGCAAGCATCTGCCATGATGGGGACTCCAAACAACTTCCCAGATATATCGCCTAAGCCGGCGACGGTAACTACTACCGTTGCATCCAAGGAGAACACTACAGTGACATCAATTGATACTCCAGTGTCTCCTATGGCCACAATTGCTCCAACCACAGAGGATACTAGTATATCTTTACAGCAATCAAAGATGGACACATCCGCTCCTCCAACCATTGACTTATATGCAAGCCAATCCGATGTAGATAGATTTGCTTGCCATCAATGTGGAAAAACATTTTCAAAAAAGTTTAACCTAAATCGACACTGTGTGCGGGCTCATCAGGCCAAAGCCGAGCCCCGAAACCCTGGGAAGGCAAGATATGTGTGCCATTGGTGTCAAAAATCGTTTGCAAAACGCAAAACTGTCTCACTTCACAAAAGGGGTTGCACCAAGGCACCTGCTTTCAAATCAAAGGATACTGAGGAACCAGGAAAACATGATCATAGTAGCAGTGACACCCGACAAGTACTTCTATCAGATCAAGAGGAGCCAAAACAAGACAATTCCATTGATAAGAACAATAATGAGAAAGAGCTCAGTGACAATACAGATATAGAGACAGAGACAGTGGAGATTAAATCTTCCGTTCAACACAACAAAGATGACAAAGTGGCTCCAAATAATTTAATGGAGCTAATAGAACTGTTGCATACACAAGCTCAAAAACCGGATGTTAGGGATACACTTAGTAACATTTTAATATAAGTAAACTTTTATCCTGTTTGCACCACATGAAAATATTTTGTACTTTACAAAGTTACAAATGTAAGTGACATGATTTATTGGAAATAGGTTCTATGTAAGGAGTTCATAGTGTAGATTAAGTGATTGAGAGTTCACATTGTATTGACATTTATAAGTTTGTCAGAAAAATGCTTTCCGCTTCTTCTATTTTTGTGTGTATGTACGAGGGCGTACATTTCTCTAAGTTGGGGGGTGTGTAGCGGGAGCGCATTTTTCTTATTTATTTTCAAGTTTTATTTTCATGCTTTTATGATCAAGATCAAATTATGTTTTATATATGGTTAAAAAGAACATTCTTTTAACCATTTATTCATTTTTATTTCATGCAAAAAAGGAATAATAGTTTTTGAGTAAGACATGTTTAAATAACTAGTGTAAACGTGTGATTTTATTTAATTCACGGCCGCTTGGCACACATGATTTCAGTTCTTATTTACTCATGTTCTTTCTCATTAAATATAGAGAAGAGTATTTGTCTGTAAATTATAATAATTATTTCTTAAATTAAGGGTGAATTGAGCTTTTAAACGGTGTATTAAACTTTGAATTTGATCTCATACTTTAGGAGATATTGTAATTTAAAAAGAGTGATTTTCAGTCAAGTTTCATATTTCTGACGGCATTTTGCCGATACTTTTACAAACTTTCCCACATAGTAAATTGATTGACAGGCTAGCGCTAGGTTTATTAGTCTTTGATGTGACAGCTATTTTGACATTGTAGCAAGCATTCAGATTCGTTGTCATAGTAGCATTTCCTTATATGGAAAGAAATGTTCCGAAATCTTAGTTCTCACAATCGTTCGGGGAAAGTTCAGTCTAGTTTTGAATGCTGAAGAGTAAGAACCTGCGATTACATTTTGGATTTATAACAGAATTGTATCATTGGATTTATAACCGATTTTGGATTTATATTGCTGTATTAATTACGCTGGATATTTGTGCTACTGGTGATCGTAATTATTGTGGATTTATATTGAACATAACTGGATATATCTTGCGTTTACACGGAGATACGTTGTTAGCCTGAAAGTCGTTCAGCGCTGCTTGTGACTATGTATTCTGATATAAGGTAATTATTACAATAAAGTCTTGTTATTTGTTCATTTAAATTCACTGTGTCTGTTTTGATATAAACAAGTGAAGCTAAAGTGAGCCAATCTAGTCCACATTTACTGCTTAATTTCCATTGCAATTCAAGAGTGATAAGGGAAATAAATTCAATTTTACATCTTTCCTTCATTCAATCAATTCACAGTCCATTATTTCCAATATTCCATTTATTAGCATTCGCTATTACCAATTCTTTATCCCAGTATTTCTATCAATTTAAACAGTTCGCATATTCATTATTTTTATCCTTAATTCCCAGTGCTACTGTTAATTATTCCAATCTCATTACATTCATATTTGCGACAATTTACAACATTCATATTTTTTTGTCTAAAGATTGGCCATATCCGTAACAAATTGCTCTTACCAAAACTGCTCCTTACTTTTTGCTCCGGAGCCAATTTCACTTGTGTGGAGTAAAGAGTTTATTCCAAAGAGGCAAGGTAGTGTAAGACTATTGCTATGTGACTTAATTGGTATAACCAAGGTAGTAGTAATTCATATGCAATAGGTACTTAATTGCTCTCAAAGCTCCTGTTTTGCTGTTTAACTATTGATTTGGAGCATTGTGCTTTGCTCCGGAGCCCATTGAGAGCTCCTGCTTGTTTAACTATTGATTTGGAGCCTTGCATTTTGCTTTGCTTCAAGGCTCATTGATCTATTAATTTATTTAGAGCATTACATTTTGCTCCGGAGCTTGTTATTGGCTCTTATTGTGTTTGGAGCCTGACTGAGGCATTTATTTGAGCACTACATTTTGCTCCGGAGCCTGTTGCTTGCTCCTATTGTGTATGGAGCCTTTCCGAGCCATTTGTTTAATGTTACACTTTGCTCCGGAGCCTGTTGCTTGCTCATTTTGTGTATTGAGATTTGTGGAGCCATTAGTTTGAATGTAGCATTTTGCTCTGGAGCTCAAGTCGCTAGGAGCCTACCGTACTCAGTATTCATTACATTTTGCTCTTCTAGCCATCAAAGTGTGCTCTAATTGTTTCACGGAGCTATGTTGTAGAATTTAAATATTGGCCAATCCATTCATGATCATCATTCTTCATTCACATATTCCTCCAATTTAAATTGATCATTTTACATTTATCAAAGTTATTATATTTCCCTTGTCATTCTTTGTTATTCTACTTGTATAATATCAGTGGCAGAACGATAATTAAAATCAACACAACAAAATCCTTTCACCAACAGACGTTCCCCGCCGGCTCTCATACCACGTGAGAGTTTTAAAGTGACACTCGGGTTTCCGCTCGGCCCAGACGCCACGTTCCGTCACAATATTGAGATTCTCTGTCAAAGCATCTTCAACTTCGAAAGAGCAAGGGAAACCTTGTTTATCAAGATATGTCAAATAGCAAATAAGGTCTACTAAGCGTACCAATTGTACACATTTAAATACAGAAATACCCTTGAAATCAGTATTTTTTCTAAACAGGAACATAGAAAGGCTCAGGTTGAGTTTTACAAAGATTCATTCAAATGAACTATATTAAGGGAGCGTTGTATACATGTAATAAAAAATGATTTTATAAGGAATTAAAACACATACGATATACGTCGATTCTGTCAATTGCTTGATTACATTTACTATAACTTTGAGTTGACCAAAAGGAAGGATCAGATTGTAATCTAGGAGGCACCAAAGATAGGTTTACACCGACAGATTCTTTGTATTAAGAATGAAATTCCTAATCAGCAAATGATCAAACAAGAGATCCAGCTTAAACCAAGCGTGAGCCATCTGCAGGGGAAATCGTTGAATCTAAAACCATATATAGCTGGAGCCTCCAAAGCCTGACAAAATGAAACTACTTTACTGAAGATGTATCACAATGACAAGTATCGTTGAGCTCTTTGTGATTATCCCAACTTATTTTTTGAAACACCGACCATAAAATTGCGCGCAATTTTAGTGTCCACCAGGGGCGTAGGAAGGTGTAAATTCAACACTACGCCAAAAATATGAAAAAATTGTGTCAAATCTTAACGAATCAAAACGCCTCTTTTATGCTCGTAAAACGTAATTTTTATGGTTATACCTTTCTAATTGTGTTTAAAATGTTCGAATGTTTTTCATGATATAAAATCACCATGGAAAGCCGGTCTTTTAAATCTCAACAATACAGATTAAAGAAACTAGTATGATCAATAGAAACATGTCCGTGATCAATGATACAACATAACTCTAATGTCTTCAACTTTTTTTATAAGATAAATAAAGCCCATGCAAAAGTCAACGTGACATTTTGTGGTAAATTGTTTTTTCCTTTCAAAATAATTATTGGTGCCTAAATGCTTTATTTCCTAAAATAATAATCTATTATATTTCAAATAAAATAGAAATTAGGGTAATTGCTTTCCTAGAACTGAAGTTGAAATGTACTTTCATTTTTACTGGCTTAAACTTCCAACTATCATAACCCTCTACCCCAAATCACCTTGATTTTTACGCCAAAAAGTGCCATTTATCGTGGCCGAAGCTAGAAAAAAGTAACAGAGGAACAAAAACCTTGCAAAGAGTACTATTGAAAAAATCGAACATATTACATGGTTTCCAAAAACATTTCTTTAGTGTGCTCGAGATCACAAACAATTTATTAACAATGAGGAAATATGACTAAAGAACATAAGGAAATTATTAAGCTATTTCATTCTAGCTTTTCAACACTACGCATTGGCGTTTTGGCGTATATTGTTCCTACGCCACTGTCCACAAACAGGTGACATAAAAACTGGCAGGTGCAGATTGTAACAAAGGAAAAGCAAATGCTCTTTCAATACTAGCTTTTTGTTTTACCCTTTTTTGTAGCGGAGATATTAACACGGTTGCCCGATATATTTACGCTGGTTGCAAATGGCCCATACTGTGCAATGTTCATTGAGGCCATCAGCAACAAGGACAAAGCCTGGCCGCATGACAAACTTTTATAAAACGTAAACACAACTGTTCAAAGGGATTACAAAGTGTAGTATGCTAGAATATGTTAAGAATGTAACCATTCAGAAGGACTAAGAAAGACTTCTGAACTAATAAATACAATTTAAAGTATATGATAATATGGACTTTACTTAAAGCTATTTGCGCAAAATGACAGACTACAAAGAAACCGATCCTCTTCTCACATCAACAAAAGGAAACATACAGGAAGATGTTATTGTAAAAACAGCTCCAAAGAGTCGTCCAAGGATTAATAGATTAATAGTGGAACCTGTGATATTTTTATACTTCCTTGCTTTTACTCCATCCATCACTTTGACAGAGCAGTATGTCTTCCATGTAGTCGGGAAGGAGTACCAAGGCAGTGATACAGATGCATCGAAACATGTACAAGGGAAGACTCAGTGTGATGTAATCAATGAAACAGTAACAGAAGCAAAGATGAGAGACACAATACAAGCAAACGCCTCAAAATGGATGATGTACTTGAATATAGCTATTCTCGTTCCACAGTTAGTAATGGTGCCAATATTAGGCGCTTACTCGGACAGAGGAGGTAGAAAAATCATCATCCTACTTTCAATAGCAGGAACATGTTTGAATTATATAGCAAATGTCATAATTATTTATCTAGACTTGGGGATCAAGTATTGGATACTCGGTTGTGTCATCCAGGGAATCTCTGGCGGTGCATCTGCTCTTATGAGTGCATGTTTTGCCTACATTGCCGACATTGTAGAACTAGATGATAGATCGTTTAGAATCACTGCACTAAATGCAGTTTTGGGAGTTTCGGGTGCCGCTGCCCAATTAGGTATCGGCTACTGGATAACATATGATGGCTATTTACCCTCTTTCTGGTTCATCTCCTGCGTTCTCATTGTCAATATCTTCTATGTCATTTTCTTTGTTCCTGAATCAAAGCAACAAAATACAAACGACAATTTTAATCCATTCTGGGACTTAAAGAACGCTGTCATGTTGTATTACAAAACGGATGAATCAGAGAGGAACCGGAAACTGTTGATTCTCATCATCACGTTTGCTTTAGCATCACTTGTATCATATGGGAGCGCCGACGTTCTTGCGCTTTTCATGCTTAACAGGCCTTTGTGTTGGACTTCAGTTTTAATAGGTATTTTCACTGCAATGTCGATAATAATGTGGAACATTGGTGGAATGGTTGGAGTTAAGTTATTTGAGAGATGGCTCACTGATGAAGGAATGATTTTGCTTGCGGCCTTGTTTTTCATAGCGATGCAAGCCTTCCAAGCTTTTGTAAAAAGCACATTCATGATGTTTATAGGTAATAAGCATTTGAAACTTTAAAGTCTTCACATGAAGCATATAAAGAGCCATTTAGGAAATCGGTTCCCGAGACGTCGATCTCATATTGATCATACTAACAACGATTTGTGAGGCAATTGACTTTTCACTAGCTGACTTTAGCCAAATCTCATTAATTTCAATGTATACAGGGTGGGCCAAAAACGTCCAAATTTACATTTTTGTAATATCTACTGATATGTTGGGAATATCCATAAATCATATATCATTAGAAAGATAATTTAATTTCTAACAAAATTGATGTATGGTTTATAAAATATGAATGGCTATTAGTGACTTCATGATAGCTTCCGTACCATGAGGTAGTAATAGTCAAAAACAAGATTTTGCTATATGTTTGAGCTTATTGCATCATATCACTTAATCAACACTTTAAGACTTTTACATTTAAAGAAAAAGTATTGGAGTTGAGTTTTATTGTTTAAGTCATTTTATAGCTCTCAAATAATATGCATTGTAGTTCGTTATAAAGTGAGATTGATGGATACATTGATATTAAAGATATTTGCTTCAACCACATTTTGCAAAGAAACGCAATTGAAATTTTGCCATAACCTATAAAATGAGATAAATTTTTATTATTTCCTCTTCTGGTGTCTATGATTACATTGTCTGCCATTTAAAATGTCAGATACTAGTAAGTTAATTTATATAAGAACAACATAATTATTGCCCATTTCATGATATTTGTAGCCTTAAATAGGTATTGTGTCCAAAATGTCTTGAAAATGAGTAAGTATTCAACTATTTGATACAGACTGCACTACATTATTTAGGCTAAATTACCAATACCTATCAAGATGGTAAAATAACTCAATAATATTGCATTTGTAAATTTTTCATAAATCAACAATTTTGACGTCTATAATTGGAATTATAACCCCAAAGCTAACATAGGGGTTCTTTCTGTCTGGTCAGTTCATAGCATTCTGTATTCAGCAATTGGTAAATCAAGATTTTGACCCCTGTGGTAATAAAAATGATATTTTAAGACGAATACTCCTTTATATGATATGAATTATATACCATTTTGTTGGAAATTGAATTCTTTCCAATGATATATGGTTTATACATTTGTCTGTAATATCAACAACGTTGTAACATAAACAAAAATATGGACGTTTATTTTGGCCCATCCTGAACTGGAGCCCTAAAGTATTTTTTTCATTCATTTTCATTTGTATGTTTCCGTTTTATTAATCATGTTTTGCACCCGGGATTTTGTATCAGATACATGTGCTTATAGACAAACACTCGAACTTCTCACTTCATGTCTTTTAGGTCCTGTAATAGGGATGTTTGGATCGATGTTTCTGCCTTTGATAAGCTCAATCATGTCTAAAACGGTACGGGACGATGAACAGGGGGCGCTGTTTGCTGGTATAGGTTGCATAGGAACAGCTACAACACTTGCTGGTGGCGCCCTCTATAACACGATATATGCAGAAACAGTAGATTGGTTTGGTGGATTCGTGTTCTTAGTTACGGCGGGAATCTTTCTGCTCGCAATAGTAACGTTCTGGTAAGTTTGAAATTAATATCCACGTTCGAATATGAATAAGAATGCGGCCTGAATGTTTCTGACGAAATACTTCAAATTGTGATTTTAATTTGGAAAATATCATGTCAGTCATTATATCATTCATTCGAAAAACAAAATATTTTCATACATATCAATTACCAACTTTTTTGTATATTCGATTTTTCAGGATCTACGTCAAAATGTCAGGCACCCATCTTCTACATGTCGTTTCTAAACAGGAAGGCAGACTTGTCTCTGTACTTGCAGATGAACCACTCAACACCTGAATACTAATTTGTAATCTGTTACAAAAAACAATACGAGATTTAGAGTACACTTCCATGAGATTTCGATTTCTATTCACCACCAGACAAAAGCGTTTAAAACCATGATTTTAAATGATTGAAGCTATGTCATTATTTAAGGTACATGTCTCAATTTAGGAATATTTTGGGCTAATATCACTCATTGTTTATGTATTTTCTAAATAATCATACTTCATATAATTTATTTTGGGAAAAAAGATTTAACAATAATGTTTTCATTTCTGTATAAATGTGGTCACACATTTATTTCTAGGATAATGTACTAACTCCACGAGAATTTTGCACAATGGATACGTTTTTATTAGTTTTTATACGTCTTACAAGTATATAATTTTGATTTGATTTGTACATTTATTTTACATTACTGTCCATTTAAGTTGTATCTCCATTTTATTATGGGCAATAAAGATATGCAACACAACAGATGGGTCTCGTAAAGGCCCCATGTAAAGTTTAAACCACTTTGGCTTATATTGTAGTCTTACCCAATGTTATCAAAGTGTGATACGTGAAACTTTTTTTTTAAATTTCAAAAAGTGGTTTTTGATAGACTTTTTGTTCCAAAATTTGTGAATTTATTTAAAACCAACTTTTAGAGGTCACTCATATCTTCTAATTAGCCACAATTCACACCAATGCATAGCATTCATCCTCCCATGTTTTTTGCCGAAAAAAATAAGAAAATCGGTTGATAAACAAGCGAGAAATGAACTTATCAGTGCATGAAAATGGTTCTGAGAAAAATGCATTTCAAAATTTTAGTTCTCATAGAAACCAATGGTACAATGATATCTAAAACATAATTTATTCTTCCTTTTAACCTGGTTAGACAATCAACATTGTTTTTTATGAAAGTCTAGCATATTTAGAAAAGATTGACATCGAAAAAAAAAATTCAATTTTTTTCAAAAAGTTTTTGTTACCTTAGTGACATCACTAATGTTTCAAAACATTTTTGATAAGCTAAAACATTGAAGTGGCCCATTAAATATGACATTTTATTATTGAAATAGTTTGTCTTTTGTTCAATCTTTGCATTGGTGTTAAAAAGATAATCTTTTTTGAAATGCATTAAGAAATATTTGATGATTAAGAAATTTCAACTTTTTTTGAAAAATGGCGGGAAATTTGAATATTTGAGAAATGAAATGCTCACAACTTTTTTTTCAAAAAATTCTTTTTGTTCAAAAATCTCTAAAATCACTTTTTAAGTCCTGACAAATAGTAAATGAATGATAAAAAAATATTTTCAAACTTTAGACGGGGACTTTAATAGTTTTGAAATCTCGTTGAAGTCTCGATTTTAGTGAGATTTTAGGAGATCTGCATTTTCAACCATTAAAGAAGAACATTTTCTTCTATTTTAAATACAATGAGTGCATGTGTAGATTCCGTTATACAACTTTTCTAAATTGACGGAAATGATGCGCTTAATAATTACATTAATCATATTATATATGAGCCTATATACAACCTTAAAGCCTATCAATATATACGAAGCTGTTTTATCAAAATGCTTCCTGGCGACAACAACAGACTTGTAGATTTTTACGGTAAGAATACGATATATAGCTTGTGACAAAAATATTAAAATTGCAATTTGCAGGTTTCATATTAATTGAAGTTAAAATAACAAGTTATGATTTGGTGTCTCATGATTCCTCAGTTTAAGCAATTATGATATGTTCATCGTTGATTCGCAGAGGGAGCCAGATATTGTATGAAGCTCATTTTGCTCGATTTCACTTTCTGCTTGTGTCGAACTTTGGGTTCTACTCACATTTGTTTGGTTTGTCTGGCCCGAGTTTGGCGGAACTTTGTATGTTGTTTTCTTTCCGCAAAATAGCTCTCGCAGGGAATCACGAAATTTCTTTCCACTCAGGCAGTACATGACGAAGTTAAATGCGCTATTAGAATACATACATAGATGCACAATGGGCTCAATGAGTTTCTGTCTTGCTTTGTCGGCTAACATAGGGAACTGTTTGAACTCTGGAGGGATTACGACGTCAAGTATTACAATAGGGGAGGTAAAGCATAGAAACAGTAAGGATATCATCACGAGCATAATTGTCATGGAGCGTGTTGCGTCGTCCTGTTTCGAACCTGTCACGTTCATTTGATTCTTTCGGCGTGTGGCTGCTTTGACCAAATGCAGGACGATTAAAGTGTTGGAAACGAGTAAAACTGTGAAGGGAACGAATGAAGCGACAGACGCATGGATCCAAGGCCAGTATTTTAGATGTAGTTCGTCAAATCCTTCCAGGTAAACGCAATTGTTGGAAACTTCCTTTCCATTCCAAATGAAATCCCGCTGACCCAATGTGAACATCAAATGACAGTTCAGTCCAACAAGGAAAAGAGTAACTAGGCAGATGACGATTTTCGTTTTCGTTTTGGTGCAAATCGACTTTGCTCTCAGGGGTAAGTAGACGAGAATGACTCTTTCAATTGTTACACAGATTAACATCCATGCGGATAGGTCAATAAACAAATATGTGAAGAAAACATGAACCTTGCATGCCCATTCATGTGTTTGCCTTATTCTATAGGCAAACATGACACGAGCCCAGTGTCGCCCTAGACCAACGATGAGAACTCCAGTGTCGAATATCGCCAATGCAGCCAGATATATGGACGAGGAAGTTTTATTCATACTTGTAAATTGCATTACAAGAAAGGATAGAACGTTACCAGTCAGTCCAAATACGATAATGACCAGTGCCATATATTTCCACAGAGCGACGCCTATTTGGTATTCTAGAAAATCTTCAATGGATTGAGCTTTCACGGTAGTTGGTAATATAGTTGAACTAAGATATTGATGAACTGATGAAATTCGTACAGTAGATGTGTCCATCACGATGCTTGAAATGAAAGTTGCAGTATCAGTAGCGTTTGTTGTGATTTTAGAATCATTTAGAGTTTGAGTCGTTCCATTATTCTCCATCTTAACTTTTCAGCTCGCGAACACACAGCAACAACCTGAAACAAACCGTTCGTGAAAAAATATGACGGGATGTCGATTATAGAATTTGTGCTCAAATCGTAACATTAGAATCGATCAATCAATTTGATTGCCCAAGACAATAAGTAATTGACAACAATGGGGACGAATTGTATGTATCAAAGACCTGTTGAATGATGGTAAGCATGTAATATAATAGTGATAGCAGGTCGTAATTCGATTGAATCATATTTCCATTAGTTAAGTCAATTTGTTAAAAGCCTTGTGCGAAGTGAAACATTGTCATTGTTGAAACATTGTTTCATGTGGCTAAAAGGTATCTTTGGCATTAATAGTAAATTAATAACATTAATATTTGAGTTTTGACCATTTGTTCTACGTTTTATATACCCGACAGTTCAAGTGTTATTGACTTCGTTGATCTTCTCTTAAATAGATGACTGTACAAAATAGGAAAATTCCTTGAAACATACATGTAATATATTAATGCAAAATTGAGAATGTGGAATAAAAGATTCATCATGTGTTCTATGAAAATAAAGTTTGCTGAGGAAAATATTATCAGATATATAATGAAGATTCACAATGCATAATAATTTTTTAAAGCAGTTACCTGGAAAATATTAAGTATTGAAAACAGTTTCAGGATTAAAGGACTTCACAAACTTCCATGTCGATAATTCATTTTTGATTTGACTCGAGTCTGGACTAGAGTTTGGAATAAAGGCAAGATGACACTTGATTGTTTAATCATTTGAAACAGAGACACTTCGGGGTTTCAGATATGGTAGCCTTAAAGACAGTATAAGTTAAACAAAGGTGTGTCAAAATTAAGCAAATTTCCATAAAGGTCAAACCACATGTTTCACGAATGTTTTCAAGGCAAAGCTGTATTGATGAGAATGAAAACTACTCTATGTAACTTGAATTAACTTTCTTTTAAAGGACCATGGACGGTATCGCAACAGATTTCAGTCATACGAGGCCCGATCAGAAAGTAAGTAACCAAATGCTCTTATTTCTTCATACTTTATTCAATCACATTGAAATTTTTACAGTTGATGTAGAAAATATTAACCTATTAAACAAGACCAAGGACAATGGGTTAGCGTCAATTCCATTGTTATTGCTGTTGCTATGGTGACAATTGTTTTGGGTAGGCGGGGCACCCTGTTTTAAGTGTCGTTTGAAGATGATTTGTAGAGTTTTTGTACATGTTGTAATACCTCCAAATATATCAAATTCACATGTAAGACTACATTTTAACTCATAGTCCCTCAAATTAATCGCCATCAAAGTCAATGCAGTTGAGGCAATGATTCACTCTGTCCTTAAAGAACATGTCACCATTCAATGACTGCAAAACTGCCATTGAAAGCTTGAATGATGGCTTTATTGCCGTCCAAACTGACTCTCCGTAACAACATCTTTGCATCTGGAAAGAATTTAGTCACATGGGGCCAGGTCTGGGGAATGGTGAGCCTGGGGTAGTTGTGTGACCATGGAAAAGGTTTAATCTACTGTATCTTCGGTAATGTTGGCTCTGTGGAGGTGGACCATTGACGTCATGCCAGTAAAATTCCCCTTCAGCAACATTTGACTATTTAATCTGCGCCTGAATCATGACCATCATTATGACAGATATACCCTTGATTTCTTTGTGTCGATGACATGTAAATGGGAAAATGGAGCTTAGTTACCATTGTGATAATACATAAAACAAATTATTCAGTCTTGTATAGGAAATTGTTAGGTCATTTGAAGGAATACAGCATGTAAAAAACCTACAAATCATCCCAAAGCCGCTTACAAAAGGGTGCCCCACCTACCCAAAACAATCATCGCTATAGCAACAGCCATAACAATGGAATTGACGCTAACCCATTGTCCTTAGTCTTGTTTAATAGTTAAATATGTTTTACATCATCATTGAAAATTTCAATGTGATTGAATGAAGTATGAAAAAATGAGAGCAGTTGGTTACTTACTTTCTGATCGGGCCTCGTATATTGGATTTTGGCTATTTTCTGAGGATTTGAACAGGTGCATATGTTAGGCCAATGCATTAACTCCAGGACAAGCAGTTATAGAGATTATAAAATAGTTTGGACTTTATAGTCAAATATTTTCATGATTTATCCCACATACCCTGACACACGAGTAGCCATAGTGACCATATTTTTCATCAAAGTTAAGAAGAGTCAATGACATTTGGCCGTCTCATGCCCGTTGATCTGAAGAAATGAACGGAGGGGGGGAGTAGCTGATTTTCGGTAAATTCAACAAATCTTGAAGATTTATTTTTTCAAGAGAAAGTTTACTTTACTAAATGAATAGGCGCAATGCACAGGGAAATATGTCAGGTCTTCTTGGATTTTTTTTGAACTGATGGAGTTCTAAGATAAAAGATCTATTAAAAAAGGCGCAGCGTCGCCAACGTGCAAATGCCAATGTTTTGCTATAAATCAAGCAACAATGGTCTGCACGACCTGTAATAAATACATATATAAGCGACGTTTTTATCACAAAATTAATTTCATTGCCGTTTTTTTTAAATAATTTTCCAAATGATAGATAAAATATTATCGAAAATAATTAAAATTGAACGGAGGGGGTGAGCGAACGGAGGGGGTAGTAATAAGTCTTTAAGGTGGAAGAAATTTCCGAAAATTCGTGAACTTGAAAAATGAATTCAGTAATTCAGTAACAGCTTGATGTTACAACTCTGAAAAGTGAAAAATTGGGACATATAAGTCCTGACTATTTAATAAAGGAAAAAAACGTTTGTTTCATTTATTTCAGTCAAAAATGGAAAAGACTATTGTAAAATGTAATTTTAGAAATGATTTACTTTATTTCAGATAGACAATTTGTTAATTGAACAACAGCATTTATTTTATATTTGTAAATAAGTGTTAATATTTCAGTTATTGCTGCCAATTAAAATCCATCAAAAAATTAATGTGTTCGTTATAGATATTTCTATACGAGAGAAATGGCTGCTTGTATAAAAATGTCTATCATGACCATATTATGGAGTTATTGGAAATAAAGTCAAGTTACATCTCTTTTAGACACATTACTCCCCCCTCCGTTCAATTTTAATAATTTTTGATTACTTTTTATATAACGTATGGTAACGTGTTTTACAAAACCAACGATGAAAATAGTTTTGTGATAATTACTTCACTTACAAGTATTTATTACAGGTTGTGTACCTGTAGACCCCTGTTGCTTGATTTATAGCAAAAACATCGGCATTTGCACGTTGGCGACGCTGCACTTTTTTATAGATCTTTTATCTTAGAACTCCACAGTTCAAAAAAATCCAAGAAGACTTAACATACTCCTGTCCACTGCGCCTATTCATTTAGCCATTCAATTGTAAACTTTCTCTTGAAAAGTAAATCTTTAAGATTTGTGTAATTTACCGAAAATCATGTACTCCCCCCTCCGTTCATTTCTTTAGATCAACGGGCGTTAGACTGCCAAATATCATTACTCTTCTTAACTTTGATGAAAAATATGGTCACTATGGCTATGTTCCCAGCAATTGATGACTCCATTACGTTGTTATAAATGAAACTTACAGTGTCAGTAGCGGTTGATGTTTTGATTTCAGAATTAATAACTGTTATATATATATATCCAGCTTTTATAGAAGCAATAATTGTTTTGAAAACTAACTAGTATATACTATTAATACGGGTTTATTGGATACTTTAATATAAATAATGCAAGTACTTTTTTCAATTACTTAATTTCTGAAATAAAAACTACCTGATTAATAGGGGCATAATTTCTAAACAGGGAGGCTGATTTGGCTCAGTTCTTCCATATGAAGCCTTCATACATGTTATAAGAGAACAGTTGCTTACCCTACTCTCACACCAAACTAGTTTTCACTACGTTCTCGAAAACGGGCTTCAACTGTGTAGGAACAGACTGGACGTACTTAGAATCGTTTGGGGTCTATTTACAAACTTCATCGAACGTGCTCGATCGGGTAGGTCCTCTAGAAGCTAGATGCTTGAAATAAAAGTTGCAGCACCGTTCAATTAATTTAAGTGCCCAAGACAAATATACAATGGATAAGAAACAAGCCATTACAGGCCCGTCAGATGAAGGGGGGGGGGGGGGGGGGGGCTTTCGATGCGACCGCGCCGTTGGCCATCCCTTGCAACTACAATTGAAAAACTTCTGAATTAATTTTATTTGTAATATTGTCTGAGACACTTTAAAAGTACCAAGACATCATGAAATAGCACATTGAAATAGTAAAATGTTATGGAGGAAGGGGACAACCCATTGCTCCCCTGGGCACCCAATCCACAAAACAAATGTTTTCTTTTCCCAGCTTTTCTCATTGTCTTACACTTTAGAAAAGTGAAAACATTTCGGAATGGTATTGTTAACTTTACTCTTTTCCAGAACTAGCATCTTGAATTAGTAAAATTTTCTGGCATTCCCTAAAAATAAAGCAATGAAAAAGTAGTTCATTCAGTTCCATGAATTGACTCAAACACATTTGAAGTGCAAACAATCACCTAATAGCATCTCGAATTGGTAAAATTATCTTACGAAGGGGCACAAAAAAGAGAAACTTGAAAATTATCTTTATTATTATCACGAGTTTGTTTATTTAAACACTCTAAAAGCGCCCAAAATCACCAAATGCTATATTGAAATCATAATAATTTGTGGCACCCAACTTCTCCTCCCCAAAAAGTTCAAAATTTCTTTTGATTGGTTCTTTTGCTTCAAACAATTCAAAGTGCTCCGAAATCACCGCGGTTATTCTGACAGTCGCCCTAGGGTATCTAACCATAAAGGGACTTCCTAAAGGGGTACAAGGGCCAACCAGGAAGGCTCCTTTTAATTTTAAAATGAGTTATAAACCATAGATCTATTTTTAAATGTTTAGGTTTTAAATTACATTCTATTAAATTCGATTACTTTTAAATTATATTGGAGCAAAGACTTCAATTTTCGAGGATCACTAAGTCCATTTCAAAGCTTT